CTTCATTGTGATTTTTGTCTTCATTTTATCTTCCTTTGGGTCATGGTGTTTTCTGTCAATATGTCTTCGCGAAAAAAACATGATGAAAAAATGAAGAATCCTCGAGGAATCATCATTTTTCTTCGTGGATAAAGAAATTCACGAAAAAAGGTGGAAGAAACCAGGAAATGAAAAAATGATGAAAAATGAAGAATCCTCGAGGAATCATCATGTTTTCTTCGTGGATAAATAAATTCACGAAAAGGTGGAAGAAACCAGGAAATGAAAAAAAATGATGAAAAAATGAAGAATCCTCGAGAAATCATCATGTTTCTTCGTTTTTGATATTAATGTTGTCCTTCATTTGGGTCTTCATTTGTTTCTTCATTTTCTTACCATTTGCCTTAGTCTGCATCGTTTATGTATTCATTTATTTTTGGTTGCCATTTGCTAGAACCATGCCTGAAATGAAAAAATAGAAGGCCTGAAAACCAAATGATAAAAACATGCTAGCAACAACCATATCAATAACCATACCCAAATGAAAGGAAAATGAAAACAAAACTAAATCGCTCATTTCCAATGTGTGGCTGGCTGGGGATTCCTTAAGCGTGGCCTTGCTGGAAAGTGCGTTTAGGTGAGTCCGTGCTTTCGGTTAAGGAAGACATGTGCCGCTGGCATTGAATGCGGCGTGTCACCGGGGGATCAGGGGGCGGAATGAGTGGCGGCGTGCGCGAAGCTTGGCGTTGCATTGTTTCAGGCGAAATGACGTCGGTGACGTCGCTGTGCTGCGGTTTTGCGCGGCCTCGCTGGAAAGTGCGGCTTGCGTGGGTCACCGTGAGTCCATAGCATTGGGGGATCGAATGCGTTTGCGGGAGTCCGCCATGGGGGAGGCAAAACAGTGCAAACGCGGTGTGTCGCTGGGGAGGGGGATGATTGGCGGTGCCCACGACAAAACTTTGTGTTGCGTTGTGGTATAGTAATAGTTTGTCGTCTTTGGCGCACCGTGTGGCGAAAATACGTCTGTGATGTCGTGGTGTGTGGTTTTGCAAGTCTTGCACGCCCTCGGTGGAAAGCGCGATTGCGTGACATGCCATTGGAGCACGGTGTTTGGCGGTGCCCACGAGGCTTGGTGGCGTACCGTGCAGCGAAAATATCGCGCCTCCCCTCAAACAAAGGAGACTCTTAATTAATAATTGATAGTGAAAAATCAATACGGATTAAAAGGAAATCAATAATTACTCAAAAGGAAATCAATATTATAGTTAAAAGAAAATCAATATTAGTTGAAAGGAAAACAAAGGAAATCAGTTTTAGTTAAGAGGGATTCAATACTAGTTAGCAGGAAATCAAAATTAGTTAAAAGGAGATGAGATCAATATTAGCCAAAAGGAAACCAACATAAGTTAAATGGAAATCAATTTTAGTCAAAAGGAAATCAAACTAGACGACAGGGTGGCCGAAAGAAAGCATAGTAGGAGTAAGCATTTTAGCGAAAGGGTTCCAAACGAAAACAAAACTGAGGGATGAACCGTTTGTCGGTAACATGTATAGTAACATGTTTTTGGGGTAGCAATGTATCGCAATGTGCCAACTGCAACGCGACTATTCTTGTCATTGAGGCCCAAATCATTTCATCACTGAGTTAGTTGATGTCTTTCTGCTGGGTCCGTTTCACTACATCTAATGATCACAGGTGCATGATGTTGTATAATGTCTGCGTATGTATGACGATGATGATGATGATGACTATGATGTATGATAATTATAATGTATTATGGTGATGATGATGATGTTGTATGTGTGATGATGATCACGATGATGTGCAATGTATTAGTATGTATAATGGTGATGGTGATGACAAAAACACTGCGCCTGCCACGAAAAGCTCTTTCCCGTACTGCAGTTGTACTACAAACTGGCCACTTCTGAGTCCAGCCCCGAAAAGTTCTTTCCCGTACTACATTTGCACTACAAACTGGCCACGTCTGAGTCCAGCTCCGAAAAGCTCTTTCCCGCACTACATTTGTACTACAAACTGGCCACTTCTGACTCCAGCTCCAAAAGTGAAGCGCCAAGTCTCCAAAACGAGCGTTTCGTACGAGATTTCCTCCAAAAGTTACGCGTCAAAGTCTCCAAAGCGAGCGTTTTGTACGAGACTTCCTCCAAAGTGAAGCGCCAAGTCTCCAAAACGAGCGTTTCGTACGAGACTTCCTCCAATAGTGAAGCAACTGGGTCAACTGAGCTCAACTGGGGTCAACTGGGTCCGGAGATATAGCGCGGCCCGCGTCTTCAACTGGCTCAACTGGGTCCACCACCACTACTATCACCGCTACCACTACTGCTTATGGGCCAACTTGGGTCCGCTGGGTTCAAGGTCTGGCAACGACTACTACTGAGCATGCTTGATCAAAGACGAATCCCTACTAGTGCTAGATGAAAATAAGGCAGTCTGAACAGTAAAAATTAAGCTCAACACCAGGGTTCCTGTGTTGAGCTTGGACAAACCCTTTTTTATCAAGTTCATCGGTGGAGCCAACGAATGGCCAACGAATGGCATGCGTGAAACTAGATTTCGAGTTGTAACGATGATCTGGACCTGTCAGACAGGGGAAGGTTCAATCGCCAAATATCCTGTTGGAGAGCTTTTGGAAGAGAATCACTCACTGCCTTGCAGCCCAGACAGCGAGATGGCTTCTGTGGGGATCCCGTGGTCGACTTGTGGATGTTTGCCACGTCCAAACAAGGGATCAGGCGCTGCGTTTTCGATCATCAAAGACTATCTACTAAACCACAGACAACTAAGTCAACTCATCCATAGAATTCTGGAACCTGAGTAAGTGACCCGTTTGTTAGATCAACGCCACCCATCCTCATCTGGGCGACAAATCTACCTTTTGCTACAAAAAGGTCTGCTCAACTGGTCCAAGAACGGTTCCCAACCAACCTCAACGCG